TAATTACCATACTACATTACCAACACAACCTCACAGCCGATCTGCATGCTCTCATCGGTGGTAGCTGTCGATCCCACCGTCACAATGTGTTCATGATTTATGCTGCTCGCAGAGCTCTACCAACTCCATCCGCTGAAGCCAATTCCGACATTTCGGCCCGTATAGGATTTTAACAATTAGAAACATTATAGACCATCATTCCTCGGCTACACTTGGCGTGCCCGTGCACGAAACGCAAACAACTTACAAAAGTCCCAAACCCCACATTCGACGCCTCCACAGTCGGAATTCCTGCCATCCACGTTGAATGGATCGTGTTTCAGTCGGTCCAGTTGTGTGCGTAAGAGGGACAAGTTCTGCGGCATGTCATCCTGCATCTTCTGAATCGCTGTACAGTACGTTGAGCATGCCGAGCGGCCATAATCTGGCACGATGTCCCCTCCGGACCCGTGATTCACCAACCCTAGGAGACCATAGATCTTGTCATGAGGGTTCGTGGCCAAGGCATCCCTAGCAAAACATACTAATGTTCCGAGATTGAGTGTCTGCGTGTCCTTTCTCTTCCACAGCTCAATCAGTTCTTTGCAGTTGCTCTTCGTAACACACTGCACCTCGGGGTTGAAACCAACATTGTCTTGGTCGATGGATCCCAGGAACATCTCCACCTGCGCAACAAACGTTGGCCAAGAAGCTGTCCCACTTCCCGACATGAGAAGGATCTTCCCTGCCACCATTATTTCTTGGATGATCCAAACGCGAGACCAGTATGGCGCTGATACAATACGCATCAAATCGCCACGTTCGAGAGATGGCAAGTAATTGACTTGTTTTTCTGTCGGTAATGGCGTGTCTTTCCCCAGCCATACTACCACCTCACTGGCCATGCTGAATATGTCCTTCATCATCGACACCTGTTGGCATCGCTCCGATATGTCATTCTGATTAATGCAAATTAGATCGATCCACCAGAGGGTATAACCGTACTCCGAGGATCGAAGTTGTTGCAAAGCTTTGTAAAGGTTCTGTGTCACTGGGAAGGTGGCTCCATTCAGAAGAATCGAGCTCTTTCGGTTTGAGACACCCCAGGTGTACGAAAGGGCTTTATAGTGAGGATAACGGCTGATAGATCCATACGGACGATATACGTCGCTTGACAGCTTATAATCTCCCAGAAAGCATTTTAAGGGTCCTTCTGAACCTGGTGAAAGTCTCACAAGCCGGAAGTTATTTTTGCCTGACAGTGCCTCGTACCCAAAGTGAGGAAGTGTCCGTATCATCCCCTCACACTCCTCCTGTGTGACATCCGATAGCCGACGTCGTCCGAATGTGCTTTCTAAATGTCGCTCAGCGCCATGGGCAATCAAAAGCCGAACCGCTGCTTCATGGCCTCCCTGCAAGGCATATGATAGCGGTGTCCGCTGCTCGTGATCCATTTCCAATTGATCCAAATAGATTATCTCAGCTGCTTCTAGGAAGTCGCGGGCGCTGAAATAGCGGGGTCCACTCGCCTTTGCGTCTAGTTTGGCACCATGCGCAAGCAGCAGCCTAATTACTCTTTCATGTCCTTGCTCGGCGGCATATGATAGTGGCATTCGTCCGAAGATATCGTTCAAGTCCGGTTCAGCGCCTTTCTCAAGTAGTAGCTTGACCACAGCGTCATGCCCTTTCTCCGCCGCGTATGACAGTGGTGTCCGTGCGAGCTTACAGCTAGAGTCCGGTCCACAGTCTTTCTCGAGTAGCAGCTTTACAGGCGCATCATGCCCGTTCAAGGCCGCGTGTGATAGTGGTGTCAATCCCCGTGTATCGTTTGAGTTCGGGTCCGCACCGGCCTCAAGTAGCAGCTTTGCTACTATCTCATGACCTTCCGCGGCCGCGTATGATAGCGGTGTCCGCTGATCGTTGGATAATTGATCTACGGGGGCGTCCTGGAGCAGCAGTAGCCTAATCACGGTTTCGTGACCATGTTTCGCTGCATACAATAGGGACAACCGTGAAGCGTCACGGAATGCAGTGGCTATCACGTTCATTCCAGTGTGCATCTTTCTCTGCGATTTACGAAATGCTGTGTTCCCGCCTGTATAAATAAAGTACTGGATGTATCACACCAAGAAATTACCACAGTGGTTACAAGCTCTTTCGTCCTGCATCTCTTTCGTCAAGCAGTCAACAGACCGGTATGGGCTCGGAAATGTACACGGGTTATATATAACCGGCTAAGAAAACGAGGAAAGGATTGATCCAAATAAAGGGTGACCAACTGAGGCTGACGCTACTGCCATATTAGTGCCCCGCACCGGTCGACGTGGCTCTGGTGGAGGAAGGATCTGCCCTTGGCATCGGTGTTGAGCGTCGTCCACTAGTGTAGCATTCCTTCTAGCGATCTTCGACCATGGCACCCAATTGGAGAATCCATGTATATCCATCCACAGCATGGCTGATGCCCGGCCATTCATTGTCTTGCTGTGGACGTGTCGATTTGTTGCTAATTAATTTTGTACCTCTCGCTATCCCGGTATTCAAGTAGGATCTTCCCGTTGGGACCACGTCTGTGAATATGCAAATGTGAAGATTCCTGTTCACAAAAGGGACTGAAATTTGCTGGTCTGCCGATGAAGATGTTGAATTCTCGAGCAAGAGGTGAAGATACGCCATCGGAGCCAGGATTTGGAATTGTTATATCGTCCCGACTTGATGAATAGGAGCGAACACACAAGACCCTGTCTAGCAATGCTATTTACCATTCAATAGTGAGTCAGTATAGTAAAAATAGGGTGCGATCATGATTCATCTAGCCTAGAATTAACTACTCAGTATAATTATCACTTTCCTATCTTCCTCTGTCACTGACCAAGGCTTCAGACCTTCACAGTTTGCCTTCCACTTCGGCCTATATAAACCCTCGTCTTTTCGCTCGAGCATCCTCTCGGTACACAGCAGAAGCTGGTGCCAATTTAGTTACTGGTGATGTTGACCCTTACGTCCACCTAATAGCTTACATGTCTTACCTCTGACATAGCCCAATCGGCTACCATGGGCTCTGCGGACGAGCGTCTCGAGGCCCAGCCACACGGCTTGAACACACACCTTTTACGCATTACCGAAGAACTTCGAGTTACTTCAGCCGCATGGGCTTGCCTGTCGTTTGCAGACCTCTCGAACAGACACGAGTCAATCAAACAGCGTGGACAGAGTCGGGTTGGCTGCACCGTTGTCAGAGCCTGTCTCAACAGGGAGGCTCTTGCGGAAATGATTAAAGCCTGTAAGTAACTTGATTTACCATACGAAGTGCTAGCTAATGCAACATCAGGGGCGGTTTGGTCTACAGCCCAACGGGATAATGCACGGTTCGACGAAGACTCAGAGCAGTCTTCCTGGCTCAAGGAAGCCTTCGAAAATCCCTAGACGGCTCGACAAGCTCGAAGCCGGTCGTCCCTCAGCGAGCGCAGGAGCTGCACAAGGGTCCACCTGTTTGTCACATAAGAAGTCGTCTGGCCGGAAGGCGGCAGCAAAGAAATTGGTAAGTTCTATATACGTACGACACAATCGAGTCAACTTTTCACTAACGCAATCAATTGTATGGAAAGGGATAACAATACGCGTATTTTCACCGGATTTCTGGAACCGCTTGAATATTGAATGCAATTATTCAATAACGATGACAACGCCGGATGCCATGACTCAGCCAGCCCAGAATTAATACATATGTCATTCTTGCCTACTTCTCACCTCCACGCTCCGCCCTTCGACCTCGACCTCCCCCAAAGTCACATCCCGGCTGCTCCCAACGAACTGGCTTTGGCTGTGCACTGCTATTCCTTCCTGCGCTTGATTCTTTTCACAGCGCGCTCGATCTCCGTACGGTGTCAACCCCCCCGGCGATTCATGTTGAGCCTTCGTCTTTTCCTTTGAGCACCCTCCTGATACACCGCACCAGCTGATTCCGGTATACTCGCGGCACACAGCAGAAGCTGGCGTCAACTTCTCGTTGCAAGTCTTGTGTGGTACACAGCAGAAGCTGGTACCACCCGAGTTACTGATAATGTCGACACTGATGCCCACCGAACAACCCACCTCTCTTACCTCTGAGCCAGTCCAAACAGCTACAATGGGCCCTGCAGACGAGCTCCTCGACCCACAGAGACGCGAGCTCATCGTGCAGCTATTGCACGCTATTGGAGAAACCAAAGTGAATTCGATCGAATGGGCTTGTCTGTGGTTTGCCGACCTCGTGAGCATAAGGAGGATGATCAAACAATGTGAACAAGATGAATTCAGCTGCAGTATGGTAGGACTCAGCCTCAAGAATAAATCTTGTACGGATATGATCAAAGCCTGTAAGTCACTGTATTGACCCTATCAAGATCTACTAGCTAATTCTACACCAGGGGCAGTTCAGTCTAAAAGCCCAAGGGAGACAGCACAGTTTGACTACGATTTGGAGGAGTCCTTCCAGGACACTGCAGAAACGGGGATCGAAGAAACCTCAACTAAGAAACGCCGGCGTGCTGCTGCTTCAGGAAAGCCTTCCAAAATCCCTAGACGGATTGCCAGGGAAGAGGCTGGGCGTCCGTTGGCCACAACCTCCTCTGCGACGACAAGACCTGAAAAGGGGTCCACTTCTTTGTCGCCGAAGAAGTCGACTGGCCGTAAGGCAGCCGAAAAGAAACTGGTAAGTTGAATTTATATATATATGACCCGACCGAGTCAATTTCCTACTAACCACATTAAGTGTACTGAACGGGATAACAGTACTTGTGTTCTGACCGGGTTTCTCGAACCGCTTGAAGTTGCACATATATACCCATACAGCATCGGCCAGAAGGGGGAAAATGAGCTTCAAGACTTCTGGCGTGTTTTGAATTTTTTCTGGGCCCCAGAAAAGGTCCGTAGCTGGAGCGAACAGGTCTTAGGTCCACATGGGACAGAGACCTGTTCGAACATGATGTGCATGGTCAACGTTGCCCACAAGCTGTGGGAAAAAGCACGCTTTGCCTTGAAGCCTCTGTCCTTGAGCGAGGATCAGAGAGTTCTTACAGTGCAATTTTTCTGGCTACCGACAAATCTATACTTTCGTGAGATCCCCGCAATCGAAACTCCCAGTCCTTTCCCCCGCGACCTCTCCTCCAGTACTGTGAACGGCGAATACAGTGCGAAGCTGTATAATATTGCGACGGATACGAAGCTATGCTCTGGGGATATAATCACCTTCGAAACTGATAACCCAGTCAGCCACCCCCTTCCATCGATGGAGCTGCTAGAAATGCAGTGGTTCCTGCATCGAGTTCTTGCCCTGAGTGGTGCTGCCGACGCGACCGACGAAGACCTTGATCCCGATTCAGATATGTATTTTGGGCTTACCTCGATTGGGTTACATGATGAGGATGCTGAGTGGGATACCGAGCTAGAAGTGGAAGAAGAAGGGGGAGGCTGAGAGACTCAAGAAGTCCGCGAGGGAGAAGGTTGGGGAGAAACGGTTGTGGAAGCCCCTAGAGCTAGGGGTAGGAGAAATACTCCCACTGACGAGAATCTCCCAACCCGCGGAAATCGTCCAGGGTCCAGACTGCCTAGATCCAAAGATGTTGACCATAAGGGCGAAGGGGGCCAGATGGCGCAGGAGGAGCAGGCGGAGGAGCAGGCGGACATCTCCCCTCTCGCCTTTAGTTTCCGCAACACACCAGTATCCGTTAGAGAGGTCATTGGGGGCGGGGATTGCTGGTTTAGCTATGTATGCTACTTCAGAATTTTATGGCTACGCTCAACCCAGATTCGTACAACCAATAGTCAAGATCAAAAGGCAACACCTCCAAACAGTAGTCTTGCACGTTCCGCCCTGCAGTCTTTGTATTCGCGTCAAGACCATCTGGTTCAGCACCTATAATCAAGGTCAAATAGAGAACTGGTTAGTCTAATATTCTTGGTTATCGCCTCAATACACCATTTTCCTTAAAGCAGCGCTCCTAAACTGCTTGTCTGCCATTGGTTCCTCAGGCACAGGGCTTGTTGATTGTGTCGGATCACGCTAGTCCTAATCGGGCATGACATCTATATCAAAGTCTCCAGAAAATTCATCTGGCGAAGGTCCAAAGACCTGAGCGGATGTAATTGACAACGAAGGCATCTAAAAGGGTACGGACAGTCTCTTTGTCACGTAGGTATAATCTTAGGATTGAGGAGATGGAAGTTGTGCGGTTGTAAAGCGTCATCAGGCCCCAGAACGAGAATAAATCATGATATGAACTCGACCTCCGTTTGTGGTTGACCCTTCGATATTTGTAGGACTCTCGTCGGGTGTCTTTGTTTTGAGAATTTCTCTTCCTACCCAGTCGCATCTCTGTGCACTTCAATCTCATTTTTCTTCCTTCACACCACCAACACCACCACCACCACCACCTTCATCATCATCACAGCTTGCTGGGCGGCAACTTTCCAAAATCATATTCAGCTCTCCTGGTCTATTCACCTAGTTGAAATTTAATATTCCTCTCCCCTCATGCCAAAAGGGATACAGCAGAGCTGGTCCCATCGAGGCTGTCCTCATCCTCTTGGTCTCCTTGGAGTTTCGTTGGAGGGAACAGCAGAAGCTGATCCCAGCGTGTTTCTCTATCACTCTGTCTCGTTTTTCGTATCCTTTCTTGACGTTCGCGAAGGGACACAGCAGTAGCTGATCCCACTACGGTGTTTGCCTATCGACTTCCTCGCCTTCCTCGCCTCTTGTGGTTTTCGCCAAGGGATACAGCAGTAGCTGATCCCACTACGGTGTTTACCGATCAACTTCCTCGCTTTCCTCGCCTTTTGCGGTATTCGCCAAG